TATATATATATATATATATATATATATATATACTCTTCAACTTTTAGGTGTTACTTTTTTTATATTGGAAGGGAGAGGAGTCGCACATTTTTACTGATTGATTAAATAATGAATTGTTAATATTAGCTTTTTTTTTTTTTCTGACTGGTGAGCTCAGGATGTGTAATAATTAGGACAGAATTGGTTTTTCAGTCCCTTTGTGGATTGAGAAGACACGTCATTTTCAGGGGTGAAATATTATTGTCCATTACATTTGAAATAGAATTTTGGCTGCCTCTGAACGATAGCCTAGCCGAGTTGGAGATTTTTTTTCTTTTAGGTTCAAACCAATGCTCTGCTGAGAATGAATTGGGCCTTTGTTTTTCCTCTTTAGGACTATTAGAAGACGCATTAGTGCAGCAGCTTCCAGGCTGTAGAGCCCTGCTTCCCTCCTCCGGCCTCACAAAGATAAACATCCCTTGCCTGAGTGCGTGGCCATCCACCTCTGCTTTCCCAGACCTGGTGCCTGTGACTCTGAGTCGCTTGTTCTGAAATGTGGTGACAAGTCATTTCTGTAAGACCACATCGGATCATTTACTTTGTGTCATTCTTAGTAACAGAACTGCAGGAAGACCAAGACCTGGTTGTAATCCCAGCAAGTTGCTAACTGAATCTCTCCCTTCTTGGGACGAATATCTCCCCCTAACCTGGTCGGCACCAGCTTCATCTGTGAGAGCCACAGAGAAATGGCCTCTGCTTTTATTTTACGCTGAAAGTAGAGCACTGATCACATTTCATGGGAGGCTGTAAATACCTGTCATTTTCTTATTTTGTTTGTGTTTCATTATTTTTCTATTGTTGTTTTTACCATCTTATTTCCTTTGGGGCTTTTTGTAATGACTTTGTACAGCTCATACCTTCCGGCTGACATATCTAATAATCTGTTTCACGGAGTTGCCAATGTTCTTAAACTGAAAGTGACCTGGTTTACCATAAACAAAATGGGGAACTTGGCTCTTTGGTTTTTCACAGGGGAAAGTTAAAGAGTGTTTATTTAATAATTACTTATCTTAACTCTTTCTGAGTTGGGAGTAGTTTCATGTTCAAGGAATAGGAAAAGCTGAAAAACATAAGTTTAAATCAGTCCTTTTAAAAATATTTTTATTCTTTTTGTATAAATAAAAATCCACAGGATTTGACTTCTCATGCTTTACTTTTAAACTTGAGATTTTTTTCACTTATTTATTCATATCATGCCTTATGGAAATTTCTTTTTCCACCTTTTCTCTCTTTGCTGGCATTTGCCTGATTAACTAGTGCTTGGAAAATCACTAAGGCATATGGAAAGGCTCAAAATTGTACTCAAAGCTGATACCACACAGAGTTCTTGAGCAGAGTGAGAGAGAGGATCAACAGGAGCCAGTATCGCCCAACAGATCCCCCTTCTCAGGGGGGTGAGGAGCCCAGGAACTTGCTGATCATCGTTACTGGTCGTGTTGCCCGTGGAGCAGTTGTGATCTACCTTGGCTGCACATTGGAATCACCTGGGAAGCTTAAAAAATACTCCTGCCTGGGTCCCACCCCAGAGATTCTGGGCCAGGGTACAGTCTGGAATGGGGATCTCTCTTCCGAGAGTCCCTGGGTTCTGATAGGAAGCCAAGTAAAGAACCACTGTGTTAGGAGACGGGATGATGCGACTTAAATCCTGTGTTGTGAATCAGTCTAAGCAGGGATGAGACTTGGGGGCCTCCCCCTCCCTTGGACTGTATTTAGTCATAGTCCTTTACTTATGCCTATATCTTTGTTAGAAAAAATATGTTCCATTTGTGATCATATTGGTAGAGCTGAATGTGGGTGATGTCGATTATCAGAACAATTCTACTTTGTCGGATGTACAAAAGCTTTCACTCTTGTTCTCAATAAATCTTTCTTTCCTTTTTTTTTTTTTGACCCTGTGGCTATTTAGATGTCTTTAGCTATGTCTTTGGTAGCAGAACTCTAATGTCAGGGTATTTAAGGAAATAGTTTCTTATATGTAGATTGTTCCTTTAAAAAAAAAAAAAGAAAAACTAAAAACAGTGGAAACCAGTATCCTTTGTCAGTTTGTCTCCTTTCCGGGAGGGAGGGGAAGGGTACCTACAGTTTCCTTAACTCTGAGGAAAGCACCTGGCAAAGCTGCAAACATTTCTCAGTTTGACATTTGCTGGAGGTGTGCTAGGACTGCTCTTTGAAAGGCATATGATTTCAAAGCATAGCTGTGTACACATGAACACCCGTGTGCCTACATGATCGTAGGATCAGGCTGCCTTCTCTGTGAGGTTTAATCATTGATTTGGGGAATCTCCCAGTTCTGTAAGTTGGCCAGGCATACTGGAGCTTTTCAAATCCTGAAAGATTGGTCCCCTACAGTGGGGTGATTTAGAAAAAGGCACCAAAGGATACTGTCTGCCATGCTTACGATACTTGTAACCTGGATTATGAACAGTTTGCTTGACTTTAAAAGAAGATAAGGCGCCCTAACCAGTTTGGCTCAGTGGATAGAGCGTCGGCCTGCAGACTGAAGGGTCCCAGGTTCGATTCCGGTCAAGGGCATGTACCTTGGTTGCGGGCATAAACCCAGTAGGAGGTGTGCAGGAGGCAGCTAATCGATGTTTCTCTCTCATCGATGTTTCTAACTCTCCCTCTCCCTTCCTCTCTGTAAAATATTTAAAAAAAAGAAGAAGATAAGGTAATGACTGATAAGTCTTGCTCAAAAGTGCTAACATGGAGGGACGCATTTATTTAGGTGGCTGATGCCTTCCTAGCGCCTGTTACAGCTGGTTAGAGGTAGTCTGCCGGGTGGCCTACCCTGTCCCCTCTCGGCAGCCCCCTGAACAGGGACTGCCAGGACCACCGGGGAGGGGCTTCCTTCTGGGCCTGCCTTCCAGTTAGTTGGGTTTGGAATAGGACTTTGCTTCAGGGTTTGGGGACAGAGAATGAATTGGTTTAAAGCACTAGAGCCAAATCCCAAGATGATTCCCAGGATATGTCTGTCCTCCCTTCTTCCTCTCCTGCACTTCGAAGGAACAAGAAGGGAACTGGAGGGCTGAGGGCAGTTGTGCTGGCGGATTCCTGCCGTCTGGGTAAACTTGGTTTTCTGTTCGTTAGCCTTCTCATCTCTAAGATGGGAATAGGTTGTCCTTTGCTTTTTTGGGTAGTTAGACATTTTAAAGTCCAGGCGTGTTGTAGTTACACTGTACGTCTTATCCTGTGAGGTGGCATCTGTACAAAGCTTCCTGGGGAGTCTTCCGGGGGCTGAGGAAAAGTCTATTCAAACTCAAAACCAAATGCCCTTCCCCTACAAGTTGTCCACAGCAACTCTGTAGGGACAACCCACAACGTAAAAGATGAGAAGCTGTGTGGCGCCAGGGGAGAGGCTGACGGGAAGCATGAATCTGGACAGGGCCAGTGTGGGTTCAGAGAGCATGGGCTTTCAAAGCTGTCCACATAGCTCAGGGGTCTTCAGAGTGCTTTAAGAACTTACCAAAAGTAGGTTAAATGTTCTCCCCACAACTGAGTTCATACTGGTTGCTTAGGAAAATAATCCCTTGCTTTGAGAGAGAAGGAAACAGGCATAGGAATTAGCTCCAACTCAAAGTTGGGGCCTTTGGGTGCTGGGGGGATGTAAATATTCTATAAAGACTATTTTTGACTTCTTGACTCCTGCAACGAATAAGGGCATCAAGCAAGTGTGAAATGGCCTGAGCTTGAAAGCAGCGATATGCTGTTTTAAAATAGTCTGCGACTTAGTTTTTGCTTTTATTCTGATTTTTCTGCCCCTCATCCTTAACTCCAAATGACGGTCTTTGCTACACTAAAAATTCACACCTGGAGCCCCACTCTGGACAGTGCCCTGGTGTTAGTGCAGTGTGGAGAGAGCGGACTGCGTGGCTTCATACACCTTTGCTCCTCCCAGGCTTGTGTTGTATTCGGTGCCTGGGAAAGTGATGTGCACGGACGATGCAAAGATAATGATCTAAATTAATGCTGTCATGTCTGAATTTTAAACAAGTGCTAAGCGTCATGATTTCAAACAGTGTTCACTTTGAAAAACTGCTTCTGTAGAGTAAAAGTTCTCACCGCTGAGATGGGCTGTGGTGCAGGTGATTCCAAGCCTCATATCACAGGGCAGGCGTCCCCGGGTGTGTGTGTGTGTGTGTGTGTGTGTGGAGGGTGGCTCACGGGGGCCGGGAGAACATAGCAGGCCTTTGATTTATATTAACTTTCACTTTGAATGTGTTATAGAATATACTCAAATCTTAGTTCATTAGCACAGGTAGATAATTTATAAGTAAATATTAGGTTGAGCCACAGCAATTGCTGATAATCATTTCAGTCTTCAAAAATGGCAGTTATCACGGATTGATAACATATACCTGTTGGGAATATGTATGCTCTAAGTTTTTACTGTTTGTGTCCAAGAATAAACTTGGGAGACTCTGGCCAAGACAACCGTCCTCAGGTCGCCACCCCCACCCCCATAACTTAGTTCTGTACCCCAAGGGGGCTTTATGATATTTAATTTGAATAAGTAATACATGCAAATAGCATACATTCAAATGGTACTGAAGTGTGGTCACTAAAAAGTAAGTCTATCTGTCCCTCAGCTACCAGCTGCCCTTCCCAGGGACAGTTCTTTGTGTATCCTAACCAGAGGAACTTTGTACTCGTATGAGCAATGTGTACGTGTCTCTTACAGAAATGTTAGCACACAGCGACACTGTCATATCCTTGATTTTCCCTTGTAAGCAGCATAGCTTAGGAAACGTTCTATCTGTGTAGTTGCCTCATTTCTCTTGGCTGTTTAACATTCCACTGTGTATACTGTACCAACATTTATTTAACCAGTTCTCTGTTGCTGGCAGTAATGCTGTTGCCTATCTTTTGCTGGGTCGTATAGTGTTTTTTTCTATCCTCACCCAAGGATGTGTATTGATTTTAGAGAAGAAGGGAGAGAGGCAGAGAGAGAGAGACAGCAACATTGGTGTGAGAAACATCGATTGATTGCTTCCCATTAGTGCCCCAATCAGGGATCGAACCCACAACCTTTTGGTGTAGGAACAACGCTCCAACCAACTGAGCCACCTGGCCAGGGCTCCTATGGTGCTTTATACACCTCATTTTGTAAGTGTGTTGAATACCTGTAGCTAGTTTCTTAGCAGTGGGATTGCTGAGCCAGAGGGGATCTGTCGAAGGGCTTAAACACATGGAACTTATTCATCGTCCTGATCATTAAAAAAAAAAAAAAGGTACTTGTATTTTTTTTCTCCTTTTCCTTTCTTCTTTCTTTCTGATTCCTCCACTTCCTGAGAATTTGACTTGGGCAGTTTGTTACCCAGAACAGTCGGAATATTCTGGAACTTTAAACTTTGTAGGCAGCACAACCGTGACCTCTGGTGCTGCTTTCCAGGGTGGAGCTGCAGACCCTTATCTTTAGGCCCTTCATTCAGGCCAGTGCTGGTGGTGCAGGCTGCTCAGCCAGCCTCCAGCTCCACAGGCTGTGGTACCAGGAGGCGCCGGCAGGTGGCAGGCAGCGCCCCGCCAGTGGCCTGGACCTTTGTGAGGCTCTTCTCCGGAGAGCAGCCAGAACCAGAGCCTTTGGACTCTTTCCCAGTGACCTGCCCTCCCAGCAGCAAGCCCAACTCGGTAGGAGAGGGGGTGGGGCTGCCGGATCCTTTTCTCCACCTAGTTTTGCATCATGTCTTAATGAGTGAGCAGTTTAAAATCACCAGCCGCTGCCTGGAGGATGGGCTTCAGGAGGCGGCACACCTCAGGGTGACAGACTGGTGCCTACTCCCCATCCAGGAACTAGCTGGGAGGATTTACATACCATGACCTGGGATGGCTTGGGTTTTCTTAATTGTAGGGCCCTACTTCCTGTCTCTTTCAGCCAAATCTCCCACACCCTTCCCATGAATTAGGAGGTCTGCAGAAGCAGCTCTTACTCACCACCCTCTACTCCACCCCCTGTGCTGTGTTCTAGGAAAAAAATAATGAGCCAGAGATTTGAGAGGCCCTGGGGCCAAGTGCTGATCCCTGGCCCGCCTTCTTTGGGGGCACAAGGCCCTGGGGACCAGCTGGACCCAGGGCTCAGGCTGGGGGCATCCCCAGGCCCCAGATCTGTCCCATTGCATCCCAGTTTCTCTTGCTTACTCACTGTCTCTGACAGATCGGTGCAGCACCTCCTCAGGCAGGGATCTTGCCCTTCTGTGTTGGGGAGACCCTCCAGCTTTTGGAGGCGACTGGGGGAGATGGGAGGGCACAGACTGCTGGTGCGAAGAGGGTGGAAGGGGCAGCTGCAGTGGTTGCCTCTTCCCAGCCACTCCCCCAACCGGAGACTAGCCATGTTTGGGGTGTTAGTAGCATTGGGGGGCCCTGGAGTAGGTGCTCCCCTGGAGTCCCACAGCTCTCCTCCTCCTAGTTTAGGTCCCTGGATCTTTAGGGACCGCTGGGGTTTTTCACAGGCTGGTGAGTGATATGGGGACAGAGTGGGTGGGGACGTTCAGGGCAAGGAATTTCATCCCTTTGTGGGCCAGTTCATTCTCTGCCAAGGTGGCTGTGATCTCCACAGTCGTCCAGCACCCCAAGCGGGGTTAGTGCATGTGAGAGACAGAACCTGCAAGAAGACTCAGGCTTAGGGTGGGGTGGGGGGACGGTGGGGGTTCAGGGAAGGGCTGGCAGGAGGCCCTCTGTGAGCTCCCCAGGATCATTTCCCAGCAAAGCAGGAATTTGCATACTCACTGGTTTCCCCATCAGCTTCTCAGCTTCTGGAACCAGGAAAAGAAGAGGAGGAGAGCAGGCAGGGCAGCCGAGGCGTTTGATCCCCTCCAGTGCCTCAGTGCCAGCGCTTCTGTCCCGGAATCATGCCCAGGCCCTGCCACCCTCGCCTCCACACCAGCCC